CTTCAGGGCAGAGCTCTTGTTCTAAGCAGGCCCAGGTGTCTGGGACAACTTCAGGGTAGAGCTCTTGTTCTAAGAAGCTCAAGTGTCTGGGATACCTCACCCTCTAGGGCTGAACTGTGTCCTTTCAGTTTCAGCCATCAATTTAGTATCATTTTGGTGCCTAAATCCTGGATACCAAACCCAGAATTTTTCCAGTTTACTTATGGTCCCACCATAGGCAGTGGTCTCAAAAAGCCGACTGACTCATGCACCAGTGATGGATCCTGATCCCACTGCCAGGTGTCCCCTTAAGTAGACAAAGCTACACAAATGTCTTGCCTATGATGAGGGCCTAGTCCAGTCACATGGAGTTCATGCTGAATTGTACTGCTCTCACCACTAGATGGTGGTATTATCATTTTACTATCAAACAAGTGGTTCTTTTGTAACTGATGCTAAATTTGCTTATATCCCCCTCCCCTACACACACACACACACACACACACACACACACACACACACACATACACACATACACACACACACACTCACACACACATATAAACACTATCCCCAGGTGAATGCAAAGACTCTTGCTGTCCCAGATGCAGAGAATATGTAAGGTGTGTGGTCCCAGTCCTAAAAACATCAGTTACATTATCTCATCTATGGCTTTGGGAACACTGATGATGAAGAAGAGAAAATGAAGTAAGAAAGACCAAGATATGCCCTTCTCTAGACTACACACAGCTGTTGTAATCAGTAACCAACAGCAACTGTACTTAGCTGCATTGACCTCACACTAGACCACAATCCATCTAGGAAAGGGAAAGACTCACAAGGCCCACCCTTTACTTCTCAAATGTTGGCTGTGTTTGCATTGATTGTAGGAGAAGAATCACTACCTTCAGCTGTAGTTCTCTCTGAGCTCACCAGACTCCAACACATAGCTCCAAACAGTCTCACACATGGCTCTGGTTAATCTCAGGGGATGCCAAGCAAAATGAATGGAGAAGAACACAATAGAGGGATTTGTTGGAATTGTGGATCAGGATAGAAAAGAGGTGAGAGTGGAGAGTTGTTGTGGTACACTCAATCATACTGCAAGGACATTTGCTCAACTATGTTCATAGCTGCATTATTTGTAATAGTGAGAACCTGAAAACAGCCTAGATGCCGCTCAACTGAAGAATGGATAAAGAAAATGTGGAACATTTACACAATGGAGTATTACTCATTGGTGAAAAAATAATGACATCATGAAATTTGTAGGCAAATGATTGGACCTAGAAAAAAAATCATTCTGAGTGAGGTTACCCAGACCCAAAAAGACAAACAGGATATGAAATCACTCTTTAGTGCATAGTAGATGCAAAGCAAAATATATCCAGGCTACAATCCACCCCCAACCCCGAGAAGCTAGGTAAAAGGGAAGACCCTAAGAGGAATGTGCATGAAAGCCACAGGAAGAGGAAATAGATAAGATCCCCTGGGTAAACTGGGAGGTGTGTAGAATGGAGGGAATAGGGGATGGGAACATGAGGGATGAAGCTGGCCAAGATTCGGGATGGATGGAGAGTGAAAGCAATGAAAGAGATATCTTGATAGAGGGAGTCATTATGGGGTTAGGAAGAAACCCAATGCCAGAGAAACTCCCAGTAATCCAAAAGTGTGATTCCAGCTAAGACATTTAGCAATAGTGGAGAGGGTGCCTGAACTTCACTTCTCCTGTAATCTGATTAGTGACTATTATTATCATCACAAAACCTTCATCCAGTAACTGATGGAAGCAGATGCATTTAGCCACAGCCAAGCACCAGGCTGAGTTCCTGAAGTCCAGTTTCAGAGATGGAGGAAGGATCATATGAGCAAGGGGTTCACGATCATGACAGGACAAACCACAATGACAGCTGCCCTGAGCTAGTGGGAGCTCATGGACTCTGGCCTGTCACCTGCAGAACCTGCTTGCAACCAAAATAGGCCCTCTAATTATGGGTGACTGTTGTTTGGCTTGATCTGTTTGTGGAGTTCCTGGTAATGTGACCAGCAATTGTCCCAGGTGCATGAGCTGATTTTTGGAGAACATTCCCTGTGGATGTATACCTTACTCAGCTTTGATGTAGGGGGGGGGAGATGCTTGGTTCCCCCTCAACTTGGTATGCCAGACTTTGTTGACTCCCCTCTGAGGAGTACATGGGTTGAGATGAGGAGAGGTCAGGATGGTGGGAGAAGGGGAGGGAAGGGTAATGGGGTTTGGAAGTAAACTGAAAAAAATTAAATTAAAACCTAAATGATAACTAATGTTGGCATAAATTTGGAGAAAGGAGTTCAAACCCAGCTGTGGGAGTTAGAACTAGAGAATCAACTTTTGAAATCAGTCTAGTGTTCTCAAAACAATGAATAACGGAAAGGAATAACACCAATGCACAATGCAATTACAGCACCAGTGTGTGAAACTATTCCTGTGGAAACAATGACAAACAAAAGTTGGGAAACCAGCAAACCTCATTGATGAACCAATAAGGATTCTGTTTTCTTGATTAGAGGTGTTCTGTCTGCATATATGTCTGTGTACCATGTGTGTGCTTAGTGCTAGCAGAGGCAACAAGAGAGCATTGGATGTCCTGGATTTCAGGTTACAGATTGAGTGCTCATGTGAGGATGCTAGGAATTCCAAGTGAGTCTTCTTATAAAGCAGACAGTGCTCTTAACCACTGAGTAATCTTTAAAGTTAAGTGGACCAGTAAATTATACTGAGGTGACTTAGAAGAATTTTGGTGATAGAATACTTATAAAAGCTTGAATGAGCCTGGTAGTGGTGGCAAATGCCTTTAATTCTAGCACTCGGGAGGTGGTAGCTAGTGTTTTCTTGGTCCTGCATGGCCCACAGTCAGGACAAATCTCTCTCACCCACCAGTTCCCTAGCTCAGCTGCTCAGACACAACCGAGTAAACACACAGAGACTTATATTACTTAAAATGTTTGGCCTAATGGCCCAAGCTTCTTGCTAGCTATTCTTTTATCTTAAATTAACCAATTTTATTAATCTGTAAGTTTCCACGTGACTTGTGCCTTGTTGTTATATTAACATCTTCTCATGGCGGTGGCTGGCAGCATCTCTCTGCCTTAGGCATCCACTTCCCCAATTCTCTTCTCCTTTTCCCACTTATACTTCCTGCCTGGCTACTGGCCAGTCAGTGTTTTATTTATTACCCAATCAGAGCAACACAAGCAACATATAGAACATCCCACAGCAGAATGCTCTATCTTGAAAAACCAAAAAAAAAAAAAAGCATGAATAACTCAATGACAGCTGCATGTCCCTTTGAAGATGATGGCTAGTGCAGGTGGAAACCTGGGGATCACTGCAAAGCTTGCTGGAAGCTCAAGGGTGATTGGAAGTGTCTTTCACCACTCCCTACTTCTTCCAGGCAGCTTGTCTTTTCTTGTCACATCCAGGCACCTTGACAAGTGTTATAAAATATCAGTCATTGATTAATGTGTTCTAGATGTTCAATTGGGGTTGGCATAATAAGAAAAGAGGAGTGGGTTAACCAAAAGAATGACTTTATAAAAAATCCTCATAGGTCGGGTTGTGATGGTGAATGCCTTTAATCCAAGCACTTGGAATGCAGAGACGGGTTGATCTTTGTGAGTTCAAGGCCAGCCTGGTCTACAGAATAAGTTCCAGGAAAGGCACAAAGCTACACCGAGAAACCCTGTCTTGAAAAACAAATAAAATAAAACAAAATAAATAAAAATAAATGAAGAAGCCTCATGAAATCCCACTGTCTTATGAGTTAATAAAAGTATAATTTTATTACTTTGAACAGAGCTCTCCCACATGGGTCAGTAATGCTGGTCCCAGTCACAGTGGTATCAAAAGCAACTCTCTGTACTATGTACTGCTTATCTCCCTTGAACTTACTAGCCATTGAGGCCCAGAAGCATACCAAACAAAACAGATCATTTCAAGTGGTCTTGCTTAAATACCCTAAGCACATGGTATTGCTAAACACTTACTTGTGGCAGTTCTTGCACTCACTATACTGACCAGGATTGCCTCAGATCATAGAGATCTTCTTGCTCCTGCTTCCTGAATTCTGGGATTAAAAACATGCACTAACTTGCGTGGCCTTTTTATCAATTTTTGAATGAACAAGCTAAATGTTTTTATTACAGCTCTTCCCCAGGGATGGAGAGATTACTTTGAAGGTAACAGCAGTCTTTGCTCTTCCAGGGGACCAGGGTTCAATTCTCAACACAGAGAACAGCACACAACTGTTTTTAAGTTCTGCTTCAGGGAATCTATTGCCCTCTTCTGGACTCTACATCCATCCTATAAACATGTACTGCACAGAAAGCCTTACAGACAAAGCACCCATACACATGAAGGACAATTCACACAGTTACTATTGCAGAATTTTATTTCAACATAAAATCTGTGGTAGTTTATTAGATTTAAAACATCACTGAAGACTTTCACAAGTCTCTTATCTTTATATTTCTATTATGTGTATTTGGGATTTGTAATCAGAGAATACCATATGAATGCTGTCACATGATTTCCAATAATATTTTTCTGTCCATTATAAACTCCTGGAAGTCTTCTAAGATTTGAATGTAGATATTGGATTTGCCACAAACTTTGAATTTATGAAGTTTCTTTCCAGGATCAATTTTCTGATGTGCTCTAATATATGAGAAGCTACTAAAACCCATGTTATATTCCTCAAATTTTTAAAGTCTCTCTGCAGTGTGAACTCTCTGATTTGTTCTAAAATTTGACCTGTAGGTAAAGGATTTCTCACATTCTAAGCATTTGTGGGGTTTCTCTCCAGTATGAAGATTCTGATGTCTTCTCAGATCTGAAATCCCATTAAAGAATATGTCATGGTCTTTGCATTATACGGTTTTCTCCAGTATGATTTTCTGGTGTTGTCTTAGATGTGAGCATGTAATAACAGACTTGTCAAATTGCAACATTTGTAATGATTCTATCCAGTATGTATTATCTAATATTATCTAAGAGTTAAACATGTAGAAAAAGATTTGCCACATTCCTTACATCTGTAAGGTCTCTCGCCAATATGGATTCTCTGATGTCTTCTAAGATTTGAATCCTGGGTAAAGGACATGCCACTTTCCTTATATTTGTAAGGTTTCTCTCCAGTGTGACTTCTCTGATGTGTTTTAAGATGTAAGCAAGTGGTAAGGATTTGTCATATTCCTCACATCTGTAAGTCTCTCTCAAGTATGAACTCTCTGATGGTTTCTAAGATGTGAGTTCTGGGTAAAGGATTTGTCACATTGCTTACATTTGTAAGGTTTCTCTCCAGTATGAATTCTCTGATGTCTTCTGAGTTGTGAGTCCCCGGTAAAGGATTTGTCACATTGTCTACATTTGTAAGGTTTCTCCCCAGTATGAATTCTTTGATGTGTTTTCAGATTTGAATACTGTCTAAAGGATTTGTCACAAAAGTTGCATTTGTAGGGTTTCTCTCCAGTATGAATTCTCTGATGGTTTGTAAGAGTTGACTGCACAGTAAAGCACTTGTCACATTGCTTACATTTGTATGGTTTCTCCCCAGTGTGAACTCTCGCATGTCTTCTAAGTTGTGAACAACTGGTAAAGGATTTGTCACATTCCTTACATCTGTAAGGTTTCTCTCCAGTATGAATTCTCTGATGGTTTATGAGAGTTGACTTCACAGTAAAGGATATATCACATTCCTTACATTTGTAAGGCTTCTCCCCTGTATGAATTCTCTGATGTACAGTGAGGCTTGAGGCAGTCCTGAAGCATTTCATGCATTTCCCACATTGGTGTGGTGTCTCTCCAATATAGCCTGGTAGTTTCAGAAGACTGTGTGCAGAGCTGAAATAGTCATCATATTCTCCCTGGCTATTCTCTTTCTTTGCAGTATACCGTCTTTGAACTTGAGTAATGTTGGAACACACATTTAAGGATTTCTCCCAGTGTTTTGATTTGCAAGGTTCTTCTCGAGTGTGCATGCTTTCATGTCTATCTGGATTGAATGAGTCAATAGAAGCCTCCCTGTGATAAATGCATCTGTAGTTATTAGAGTGTTCTCTAGTTTCACTTGTTCTATAATGAGCACATATGGAGCAGTCATGAAGAACTTTGCCAAGCTCATTATACTGATGTGTCTCACTTCCAGTCTTCACATGTTGATGGACAGGATCACATTTGAAATATTTCTCTGAAAATAAGTAAGGTCATATTAACAGGGCTTATTCTAAGACCAAACTTATGATAAGTGACTGTTTCTCTAAGTTCTCTCTCAAGATAAGTCAACCAGCATCAAGTTAGACATTTTTCTTTCACTGTAAGTGAATGTATTCTCACAGAAACAGTATGACAGACTTCAAGGTCTGTGATTAATAATAGATATCTCAGTCTAATTGAAACATGATGGATCATGAATTTGAGGAATCAATAATTAATTTTTGGATGAAGCTCATTCATGGATTATGTTTAGAATAAGTGTCCCTATGTTGAAATATTTCCTGTCAGAATTTGATAGAGTATAATCCACACTCAGATTCACAGCATTTATACTTACTAAGTGATAGTCAATCAAGAGAATTATACAGAGTATCCAATTCCTTTACAGTTTAAAGTCTTACTTAAAAGCATCACAGGATTTACTTTTCTCTCTAGAAAAACTCATTAGAGTCTTTAAAAGTAATGGAGGCAAGCCAAGTATTTTGTAAGACAGAAGAGGCTCTAAATTGTTTTAGGCATCTGTTATTGGCAACTATTGCTTATTTCTATTCTCCACATTTTGTGATCCATATTCTTCTGTGTTTGACATTCCTTATATGGTAATTCTCAAGTCTAGTCTGTATAATAACTCCTGAGAATATTTGCCTGAAAGGTGTCTGTGTATTCTTCACTAGGAAGAAATCTAAATATAAAGCTGGGAAGTGGAAGGCTGAGTCAGAGAGACACTGCCAGCCGCCACCATGACAAACAGCATGTGAAGATGCCGGTAAGCCACGAGCCACGTGGCAAGGTATAGATTAATAGAAATGGATTAATTTAAGGTATAAGAACAGTTAGCAAAAAGCCTGCCATGGCCATACAGTTTGTAACCAATATAAGTCTCTGTGTTTACTTGGTTGGGTCTGAGTGTCTGTGGGACTGGCTGGTGACAAATATTTGTCCTGACTATGGGTCAGGCAGGAAAATTTTAGCTACAAATGGTGTCCAATGTGGTGACAAGAGTTTCCACCTAAAAATTGAGAAAAATGATTCTAAAACGGAGCTAAAAACAGCTTCCTAATTGTCTCTCTCTAATGAGCAGCAGCTGCTGGTTTGAGCTACTGGCAGGTTCCTAGTGTGCGTGCTCAATATGCAGTATGGCGGGAATGAGGCCTCTGCAAGTGGCACATTAAGCTGCATGGTGGATTTAGCCTTTGCTAGTCCTAAACAAAAAAAGAGGTTTTTGGGCTACACGCTGCTTAGATAAAGCATAGACCCATGATAGCTCCCAGAGCTGGCGGTAAACGTATCCAAGTTGGGAAGCTGAGGTGGGTGTAGACAGCAGCCACAGCTGCTACAGTTTAAAGCAAAAGATTCACAATGAGACAGATTCAGATCGCCCTTTCAGTCTTACAAATGCTGCAGTTTAAAACAATAGATTCACAATAAGACAGATTCAGATAAAACAAGACTTTAAATGCTTTACAATGTGTGTAAAAATGTATGTAGGCTTGGAAGAGAGAGAAAAAGGAATATATACAGTTATATAAAGAAATACATAGTTTTAAAAATAAAGTCTTTAAAGAGACAGTAAAATTAATATAAAAAATAAGCCACATTAAGATGAATATTACACAGAGAATCTGGATTGTGTTGTCTTTGGGACTTTTAACTGTAGAAAAAAATTGGATCGTAAAAAATGTTGAGTTAAACCAATATGTATATTTTAAAGATACCTTGACTTCAAAATTTGGATATAAGGATATGTTGCATTGGAAAGGAGACTCTGCTTTTGTTCCCACAGAAAGCCAAAGGCTATGGATTTGTTCCAGATTAAGATACATCAGGTTTGACAAGCCAAGACCCTCTGAAAAGTCTCCAATGACACCATGGCCCAGATGTTCCAACATCCAGAATGGTTTGAAGGCAACTGGCTCAGACGATACACCCTCATGGACTATTCCATAATCCTAAAATTTTCTTTGTGTCCCCATAAGATACAGCGCCCCCCTCCAGCAGGAAGTAGTAAGAGAAGCTATACCCCCAAATTCCCAAATTACATGTAATTTTACTTTGTTAAGGTTAAAACCTTCCTTTTTGAAAAAAAAAAGAAAAGGGGAAGTGCTGTGGGATGTTCTGTATGGCAAATGTGTTGCTGATTGGTCAATAAATAAAATACTGATTGGCCATTGGCGAGGCAGGAAGTATAGGCAGGACAAGGAGGAGAATAAAGCTGGGAAGTGGAAGGCTGAGTCAGAGAGACACTGCCAGCTGCCACGATGACAAAAAGCATGTGAAGATGCTGGTAAGCCACAAGCCATGTGGCAAGTTATAGATTAGTAGAAATGGATTAATTTAAGGTATAAGAACAGTTAGAAAAAAGCCTGCCACGGCCATATAGTTTGTAACCAATATAAGTCTCTGTGTTTACTTGGTTGGTTCTGAGTGACTGTGGGACTGGCGGGTGACAAAGATTTTTCCTGACTGTGGGTCAGGCAGGAAAACTCTAGGTACATAAGGGTGTAATATAAAGTCAGCCATCAAGGAAGGCAATTAAAGACTAATCCTACTTCATGAACACAGATTAGGTTTATAATTTCTAAAATTATTCCATACTATGATGTCAGCATAGTCAACTAAACCTGCATTTTTTCTAGTATTGTCACCATAATTCTGTAATAGGCAAGTAGTGACCTACATGCAGGATGTATTCTGGGATCAGAACATTACCCTAAGTCAAATGATCAGGAATCTATTCAAGTGGAATTGAATATCACAAGCAACTCTCAGTCTTGCCTTTTGTTTCCCTGGAAGTCTTCACTGTTGTCTTGCTCATTCTCTAGCCAATCCTGCTAGTGGCTAGCCTCTCCTCTCCACATTCCAGGGCAATCTCATTTGCTCTAGATAGGTGACCAGGAATACCATCCATACCATAATTCCCTTGTTCTCTAAGGTAGCCCATGACCCATGCTAGAATTTTTAGAAAGAATACAGATGTCTAACACAATACTGTGCTCATGCATGAAGAGAACAGAGAGTAGAGGAATCTAATAATGATTTTCTATTGCTATTTCATGTCAGAATCTTCAAAATATTTAAGGAGAATTTTAAGTTTGCACAGCTTGAGTTTTTTCTCACAATTAAAACCATGTCAGGTACAACTATGGACATGGAACATTCAGATATGGAGATAAATGTTATATAATACTATGTATCTGAATGCATTGTGAAACCAAAATGAGGATACATGACACGTCTGACATGGAAAATGGAAAGAAAAAATCAAATAACCATGAAAATGTTCTTTTCTACTACCAATCTTTCCCTAGTCTCCTGCTGTTTCTAAGACAGCTTAACAGACAGTTTACAATCTATAGTGCCAATGCATATAAAGGATTAGTTAAAATTCTAGGAAAAATTTGTTCTCACCCACAAAGAGCAGGTTGTTGTAATTCTCCAACATCACGTCAATGTACAAAGCCCTCTGAGCAGAATCCAGGCATTCCCACTCCTCTTGGGAGAAGTTCACAGTCACATCCCTGAATGTTAACAATCCCTGAAAAAAATTTGTTTGAGCACGTGTGAGGCGGGTAAGTCCAAAAGCACTGGGTCATGCCTTAAGCAAACAAAGAGCTATTACATGGGCAGAGAGCATGCAAGCTGGAGGAAAATCTGACCCATAAGATCCAAACAAAACATGATGACATGCAGCCCAGAGCCAACCAAGAACTGGCACAGCAGCTAGGATCAGAGCCTGCCAAAAACCCACATACATAAACCTCAGCCCTTTGATTAGTAAATGAGAAATTGCTTGCACATCTCACAGAGTCTGTTCCATTGACTCTGTGTCTGCTCCCCCCCTTTCACTAGGATCAGGGACCCCAGGACCCCAGGTGCAAAGCCAGCAACACACAGACTACCAGACAGAGTGCTTCCCTGGATATCAGTAGAGTTGAGGAAATTTGGGATGTAGATAATGAAGACAATCACTCAGTTGATTTTAATACAGTCACATTCTATCATGGATTTTCTAACTGTGAAAACAGGATGACACAATATGCTCACAAGCAATATACATAAAACACACATTTTAAATCTGCACTTCATTATCCATCTGTTATGGATGCTGGGTTTATGTCTCATAGCATCACAGTGTACATGTCTCAGAAAGAAAATTCATAATGACGAAATGTGCTTTAATTTTTGTACCTAAAGATCATGGTAAAATAATGCCACTCAATCAATTCTGTGCATTCTTCAACCTTACATGATTGCACTCTAACATGCTCAGTTCATATGTAAAATCTCTAGATCCAATGCCATTCCATTATAGAGCAATTTGGTAGATACGAAGGTAGTATTCATGGTTGAGTTCATAGGCAAAGAATTTTCCTTTTATCCACAGTAACAATGAGTGCAATAACACTACATACTGTCAATTTTAACATTAATGTATAAAACAGGTAGTCTATGTGATTATTTTATAAGCATTTTTTGAGCTACTACCAAGCAGATAGGAAAATCCACATCAACCACATTAATATAATCTAAATATTCCTAGTAAAATAAGAATATGCTGACTTAGGCAAAAATAACAATTTGAGAAATTTAGAAGAATATTTTATTTCTGAAGTGTTATAAAAATTGAGGGAGGTCCTGTTACAGAATGATTGTTTTCATGGTGTAAAGATGAGTCTATATTTTGCCCCACTTGCCTAAGACATCTGATTGGTTTAATAAAGAGCAGATCCATGTGGTGGTGGCACATGCCTTTAATCCCAGCACTCAGGAGGCAGAGGCAGGTGGATCTCTGTAAGTTCGAGGCCAGCCTGGTCTACAGAGCAAGATCCAGCAAAGTCGCAAAGCTTCACAGAGAAACCTTGTCTCCAAAAACCAAAAAAAAAGAGCTGAATGTCCACTAGTTAGGCAGGAGTTCTAGGGAAAGAGAGAAAGTCAGGAAGAATCTGATTTAGAGAGAGACACCAGCAAGACACAGAGCAACTTGGAAGTAAAGAAAGAAGGAAAGGTAAAAAGCCACATGACAGAACATGATTAATAGAAAACAGGTTAGTTTGAATTATAAGAGCTAGGTGGGAATAATCCTAAGGTAAAGGCCAAGCTTTTATAATTTGGGGCTAAATGACCCACAAAAGGAAGTCTGAGTATAAAGTCCAAAAACACATCAAACAATGATTAAGCTGTAGCTAAGCATGTACACATCAGTGTAGTAACTGTGGATGCATTCAGAAGTGACATAGATTTCCTGTCAGTAAAAGAATATATTAAATTCTGTGCAAGGTATCAGTTGGGGATTTAGCTCAGTGGTAGATACCATGCCTAGCAAGCACAAGACCCTGTGTTCGGCCCTCAGCTCTGAAAAAAAAAGAGAAATATCATCACTTTTTAAATGTAATAGAGCTTAGAAAAACAGCCCAGGAGAAAATTTGAGCATTTTTGTGTCTGAATTTTGTTGTTTTCAATGTTTTTCTTCTTAGCACTTATGCCGTATTGTCTAACAGATTTTAGGTTAGTAGTATTTACAATTCTTCCTTTATTTCTCTGGAACTGTGTCCAGGTGATATATTCTGTTTAAGCTATGAGTTAGGATGGAAATGCAAACCTTCTGTTCAGAGTGCATTCTTCAAATCTCTACTTTAAAACACTGCAGCTTCAGCGTAGTGTAATAGAGCTATCCCTCTCACAGAAACTGACAAGAGCAAAACAATCTTTTTGCCTTCAATGGGATGACTTATGCACATCAATTAATCAATACCCCAAGACATTTTATTGATGATTGCAATAGAATGATGCATAATGAGTCCGAGACAGAAAGGGCTGCACAGTGGGATCCTTTTTGGGGCAGAAAGAAAAAGAAATAAAAGAATACTAATTTCAGGCTGGGTGTGTTTATACATGTCTTTTATCTTAGCACTTGGGAGGCAGAGGCATGTGGATATCTGTGAGTTGAGGCCAGCGTGATCTACAGTACTACTTCTAGGAGAGCCATATTTCCAAAGAGAAACATTGTGTAGAAGAACAAAAGAAAACAAAACAAAACACTGAGCTCTGTAGTTGGGGAAGGTACAACTGAGTATCCTAATCAAGTGAGGGATGTGAGAAGCTATTCTCCTGAGACAAACTGATGGCAGTTTTCAACAAACACATGGACACATCATTACTACCATGATATTAAACACCAAAGGGAAATACATGTAGACTACTGTGGTAATTTGAGTATAACTGGCCTGCATTGGGAGTGGCACTGTGAGGAGGTGTGGCTTTGTTGGAGTAGGTATGGCCTTTTGGTGGAAGTGTGTCACTGTGGGGGTGAGATTGGAGATCTCTTTTGTTTAAGCTTCACTCAGTGTGACAGTCAGTTGACTTCCCTTTGCCTGCAGATATAGGACTCTCAGCTACTCCTCTAGATTTATTATCTGCCTGTATGCCACCATGACGATTATGGACTGAAACTCAGAAAATGTAAGCTGCCACCTCAATTAAATGTTTTACTTTTTAAGAGCTGCCATGGTCAATAGTGTCTTTTCACAGCAAAAGAAACCCTTACTGAGACAACTATAACCTAATATTACACTCAAGAACAAAATTTTCATGGTAGGATTAAGTCACGTGTGCAAACCATGCTCTATTTAGTCTAGTGGGCTTAAATGTTTAGTATTAGGAACCTAGTATTATTTAGAATTAAACATCAAGCTTTGTCTCTTTTTTTTTTTTTTTTTTGGTTTTTCGAGACAGGGTTTCTCTGTGTAGCTTTGCGCCTTTTCCTGGAACTCACTTGGTAGCCCAGGCTGGCCTCGAACTCACAGAGATCCGCCTGGCTCTGCTTCCGGAGTGCTGGGATTAAAGGCGTGCGCCACCACCGCCCGGCAAGCTTTGTCTCTTAATTGCACATATTTTTAAGATGTTGTTTCAATATGTTCTCCTTAGATCATGAAAGAAGGATATAAGAGAAATCCACAAATAGAGCCTATATGACACAGGAAGCCTCCCATACTAATATATAACAAAATAATCCATCTAGTACAGCAATTATGCATCACATCAGCCTATTGTTTGTTCATGTGTTAAAATGGAAATATTTCAAAATTACAGAACATAAATTCATGAGAAGCATTCTCTCTCAGTGGAAAATGATCTGGAAAGAACACAATGGAGAAAGTGCTACAAGTGTGGATTCATGGAATTACACTGCATAGCCATAGTAATAAATTCAGCCTGGTAATGTCAAAAAAGGAGAGAAGGGGATAACAGAATACTTAATATTTGACAAAGGAGATAAAAAGATACAGTATAAGTCGGGCGGTGGTGGCACACGCCTTTAATCCCAGCACTCGGGAGGCAGAGGCAGGCGGATCTCTATGAGTTCAAGGCCAGCCTGGGCTACAAAGTGAGTTCCAAGAAAGGCACAAAGCTACACAGAGAAACCCTGTCTCAAAAAAACAAAACAAAAAAACATACAGTATAAAAATGTGGACTTTTCCACAAATGATGCTGATAAAAATGGATCCATCAGGAGAATGTAATTAGACTCTTACCTTTTATTTGTACAAAAATCTATTCAAAATAGATTAAAAAAAATCTTATTTCAAACCAGAAACACATAGAAACTTAGAAAACATAGGAAATATCTTCTAGGATATTAGGATGTGCAAGGACTTACTGGTTAGAAAGAACACCAACAGCAGAATTACTGAACAAATGGAACAAGATGAATATAAAATGTTTCTATATGGAAACAATCAGCAGGGCACACAGACACCCAAGATGTTGGGAAAGAGTCTGTTCCAGTGACACTTTGGATAGAGGCTCTTACCTAGAATTTACCAAGAATTACAGAAATTAAATACCAAGGAAATAAAACTGCCAAAAACAAATGGGCAAATGAGTTGAAACAGGACATTTTAAATACAAATACACAAATGCCCAATAAATATTTCAGGTGTTCAGGATCCCTAAAATGCCATCATGGAAACAGAAACTGAAAGTACTTTGAAATATTGCTTCACCCCAGGCAGATTTTGCTGTTATCAACTAACCAGAAAACAAATGTTAGGCAGAATGAGGAGAGAAAGGAAGCCTTATTCACTGTTGATGGGGGAGGGTGTAATTTAATAAGCCATTGTGGGAATCAGTTTGGAGATTATTGAAAACAATGAAGATGAAAATAATGTATGACTCATCAATGTCAGTCCTAAGCATCGCTATAGTGAGTATGGAGGAGTACCTGGAGGTTGCAATTTTTGAGGGAGCTCTGGTTATTGAGGAGGAAAAGGAGGATATGCTGGTGGAGTATCTGGATATGGCATTCAGGGTGGGGCTGGAGAGATGGCTCAGAGTTTAAGAGCACTGACTGTTCTTCCAGAGGTCCTGAGTTCAATTCCCAGCAACCACATGGTGGCTCACAGCCATCTGTAATTTGATCTGGTGCCCAACGTTTGTGCTACGCATTTTTGAAAAAGCTACTTGGCTAGGGCCTTGTGGGCCCCAGCTCAGACCCCAGCTATACATAGCTGGTTGTGGTGACATGCTGGTAGGATT